ATACAAACAAACCGAAAACTTACACAGCTTTGAACGACGACACCCCGGGCCAACACATCCAAATCGGTATATCGGATAACAGTTCTTTCTCAAATTTCAAGCTACCAGAAGGTGCTGCTACGAATAATAGTCAGCTGACTGTCATTGTGCGAATAATCGATAAGTTTAACGCCATCACTGAATATACTGTCGGTATTGTTAAGGTTGGTGAGTTAGTTTTTTGTTTGTATGTTGTTTGTATGTTGTTGTTTGTATGTTGTTGTTTGTATGTTGCAGTTTGTATGTTGCAGTTTGTATGCTGTTTATAACCAATCATTCATGTCCAATCAAAACAACCTACAAACCAATCAAAATAAGGTTCGGGCGATGACAGCAGCTGAATCAAGCAGCTTGGTGGCTGGGTACCTGGCCAACGCCACGACCTCAAACGTCATGCTGACCCTGGCTGCTAATGGCGACATCAGAGCCACTAGTAGCGTCTTCCTTGCTATCATTGATTCGCTAAATCAGGATTCTAACTCGAAAATTAATGGTGATAATGATGATGATGATGATGATGGTGGTGGTGGTGATGATAATGATGATGATAACAATGGCAGTGATGACGATGATGATTGCCATTTGTCCATTCATTCCTATGCAAATGTTGTTTATTATTATTATCATTGTCACCATCATCATCATCGTCGTCGTCATCATCATCATCATCATCATGACCCTAAACAGCTGCATTGGATTCCGCGGCTAACGCAACAACAGCAGCAGCAGCTACGAAGGATTCCTTCGCAAGAACCGCCATGCTTATTGATGACGTCAGCAGTTCCATTTATAATCAAATTATCATTTAATTATATTAATTATAACAAAAATAATTTTAATGCCGCGTTCTATTTCTTGTCAAACTGTTCAATCACGAACATCAAAATTTATGAAGATCTTCTATTTATTTTTCAAACGCTTTTAAATTCCCCGACCAATCACCAACGTTATATTATATTCTGTACAACCAATGACGAAACGTTAAATTTCTCCGACCGACCAATGACAGCCCGCCTACCAGACAGAACGAGACCAGAGAGCTTACTTGAAATCTCAAATCATTGGAGCCATGGGCACTCTGACCGCATCGACCATGCCAGCCATCCAGCTGGTCGCCAGCACATTAAGCCAAGTTACGAAAGTTCCCAGCGAGATTAATAGGAAGGACCAGGTTCTGTGTGACGTCATTCCTAATCATTATTTTTATTATTATTATTATTATTATCATTATTATTATTATCAACCAGATGGCGATGGTTAACATTATTACCAGCATTATGGAAACCATGAGTAACCTTTCTGGTAAGGTATGTATTTGGCGATATTTTAAAGAATACAAAAAGAATTAAATTTCTGTAAAATTATTGAAATATTTTGCTTAACATAAATTATGTCATTAGGGTCACTTGAAATTTCAACGATTTTGGCACCAACCATGTTAATAAAAAACTGCATGTTCTTGTCAATAGGGCCGAACGTTTCGATGCAGATAGAGATGAAAAATTCTGTATCATTATTCAATTCCTTATATTTGTTGTTTTTGAAATCAGCTGCTTTTATGGCAGCCGATCCTCATTCTATAGATGTATGATTAATGTATCTTTTTGCTAATGTGTGAGGGAAAGTGACGAAATTCATGTCCCTGAAACTATAGGACCAATGTATATTCATCAGGCCTAAAATTACTATATTGGCTTTCTGAAACAAACGAAGCAAATAATCATTTATGGCAGTATGACAGGCCTGACTGCCTGAGCCGAGTTTACATGAAAGTCCGTGATATACACACATCAATGCTGACTGTATCAGCATTGATGTGTGTATGTATGTGTGTGTGTGTGTGTATGTTTGTGTGCATGTGTGTGTTTGTATGTATGTGTACAATTTCGTAGGTGCCTCTGGAAGAGTTGAAAACAGCAGCAACGTCTCTTTTGAGCACTCTTGGAAATGTTATGGAGGTGAGAATTTGTTGATTGATTGATTGATTGATTGATTGATTGATTGATTCATTCATTTGTTCATTCACTCGTTCAGGGCACCGTCTACACGCAAGATGACGGAAGCATAACAGACATAAATGAGGCTAAAAAGGACCCGCTCTACTTTTTCGATTCCGACTGGGAAAGTCCCAGAAAAAGTAGACAAAACAATTTTTTTCGTTATCTTTTATTTATTTTGTTTTTTTTGGTTTAATCGTTCGTTCGTTTGTTTGTTCGTTTGGTTAGTTGTTCGTTTGTTTGGTTGACTGTTTGTTTGTTTGATTTTTCACCTGCTGGCTGGCTGGCTTGATGGCTCGCGTGCTTGCTTGTTTATGTATTCATTCATTAATTAATTAATTAATTCATTCATTCATTTATTCATTCATTCATTCGTTCATTTGTTCTTTCATTCATTCATTCAGGTTTCGATGGTATGTCGCAGGAAGACATGGTAAAAGGCTTACAAAGAGAGACAAACACGCTCGTGCAGAAAGATTCCGTTGGAATTTTTTATTACTTTAATTCTTTCTTTCATTCATTCATTTATTCATTCAATCAATCATTCAGTTATTTGCTGAATCACTTAAACAACTTATCAATCGTTCAGTCAATCAGCCATCCAACCAACCATCCAACCAACCATCCAACCAACCATCCAACCAACCATCCAACCAATCATCCAACCAACCAATCTATTACTTGATTTTTTCCTACCAAACAAATTAGACAGAAGGAACATGAATGAACGAATGATTGAATGGTGGATGAATTGATTTGTTAGTGAATGACTGAATGAACGAATTTATAAATAAAACACTGTTTAACACGCACACACACACACACGCATACACACACACGCATGCACATACACACACACGCACACATACACACACCCAAAACCTATCACAAACACTTCATAACAAACACATCATACACACACACACCACAAAACTCACCAAAAGACACACCACACTCACACACAACACAGGCTGCCGACAGTATTCCATCTCAGATGGGCTCAGCCAAAACCTTAATCTCACTCCTTATGACAAAAGTAGTTCCAGGGGAGAAACCTCTGATCATAACTAGCAAAACATTGTCCGTGGCTATCCAAAAAAACACCCCCGATAAGTTGGTCAATCAGCCAATCAGTGTCAGTGGAGCTCAGCTGGTGATTCCAAATATTTGCGACGCTGGGGCCAATTGTTCGAAGAATTCTCCTATAGGGGTTGAGGTGTGTGAATTGGTGTGTGTGGTGTGTGAATTAGTGCGTGGATGAATGATGCATGGTGTGAATGTGGTGGACGTTCGTTTAATGAATATCTTTTTAACTCGAATCATCAGATGATGATGACACCGAGAAACACTTTCGCCCACTTCAAAGACCCAGACAACGTGGCAAAGTTTTCAAGTGTCGTCACGTTGAACCTTTACGATGAGAGTGGAAAGCCCTTGAAGCTGAGCAACCTCTCCAAACCCTTGGAGATCACTATACCCCGGGTTTATATGAATCCCCCACCGCGAGAGGTATGTGTGTGTCTCTGTGTGTGTGTGAGTGTGTGTGTGTGTGTGTGGTGTGTGTGTGTCGGCGTGCGGATGTGTTTCACATTTTCTGTTTCACCTGCAAAAATTTGGAGCTCACTGCATGTAGATTTGATAAAGAAACCTTTGAAACATCTTTTGCCCATAAACTTTCTAGTGAAGCTAGCACTCCTGGAGTTGTTATTCAATAGAAACGCACTACAAATTCTTGAATAATAAATATTAACAATGATAATTTAATAATTTGATAAATTAAAAACCCAAAACTAAAATTTCACAATTTATAAACAAACCCCAGAACCAAAATTTGTCAAAGTCGGAATTCCAGGGCCAAGACGACCTACTCTATTATCGCTTCAACGTCTCCAAAAACGACGGTTCAGTTGCCATAGAGATATACCCGAGCGATAGAAGCGTACAATTTCTGGTCTTTGTGAGGTACGACGCTCGGCCGGTTATTAACGGCAGTAATCAGTGGGATTACATGCAGAACTTGCCGGTTGACTTGAAATCAGGTTGGGAGCTAGTAGTTAGGGTAGTTTGGTTCGTGTTGGTGTTTCCAAATTTGGCTCATTACTTTGCAAATGGTTTGCTAATTGGTTGGCTGATTGATTGGCTGATTGGTTGGCTGATTGATTGGCTGATTGGTTGGCTGATTTATTGGCTGATTGATTGGCTGATTGATTGGCTAATTGATTGGCTGGTTGGTGCGTTTATAGTGTTTTGTTGTCGTTATTATCATAAATACTACAGCTGCTACTACTAATTGTAATAGAACTGTAGCTATTACCATTATAACTTCTCCTATTGCTGCTACTAATCGTACTAATATAATGTTGGTGTTACTGTTATTATGGTTACTGCTACTACTAAATAATATTAATGATGCTATGATAAGAAAGATGACGAAAGTGACGATGGTCTTTTTTTGACGACGGTTAGACTGATGTTCAAATTAAGCCAATATCAAACTGCCTTAAATTTTTAATCAAGCATCATATAAAACAAAAGAAAAACAAACAAACATCAATCAGTCTCTCAAGGCAGCAAATCCCCCTCCAACCAATCAACGGACGACGAAAGAGAGAACCTCTACACCGTTTTCCTGAACGATGACGTCATTAAAGGACGTAACGGCACGTGGTACGTCGGCTTCCGGCAGCTGGCCAGCAACGAAACTGACTTCTACAACTACAACGCTACACCGTCACCGCCAAAACAAAAAACTGGTCAGCCGACGACCAACTTTTCCATCTTCGTTTACACCTCCGGTTGCCAGTATTGTCACGAGGGAGATGATTCCTGGACTGTTAATGCCTGCAAGGTACTCATTTAAATCCACACTCTATTCTTATGTCCAGTTTAAATCTCACTAAATTTTTTAAAAATTTAGTTAAACTACCTCAAACAACACCACATGACACGAAATTCTAAAATTAGGTCAGTCCGAAATCTCGCATCAAAAAGACAGTTTGTCTCTGCAACCACTTGACCTCTTTTTCCGGCGGTTTCGTCGTCCAGCCTAACACTCTCGATTGGAGTTTCATCTTTGCCAATGCCGATATCGCAAAAAATCCGACGTTGTATTCGACCGTGATAATTATTGGGCTGCTGTATCTGCTTGCTCTTATCTGGGCTAGGTGGAAAGATAAGAAGGACTTTGAGAAGGTTTGTTTGTCTGTCGGTCTGTCTAATTGTTTGTCTATCTGTGAGTCTGTCTGTCTATGCGGTTGTCTGTTTTATTTGACAGCAAAGAACAAAAAATTAATTACAAAATAAATTAGCCGGGTCATGATTAAAAATCAGCAATCAATCAATTAGCTTATATAGCGCTATTTTCGCGATGTTCAACAGCGCTCCTCAATGAATTTTTAAAACAGATGGGTCTTGAGATCTGCTCTGAACTTCGTAAGTGATGGAGAAATAGTCAGAGAAGTAGGTAGAGAGTTCCAGATAAAAGGGCCAGAAAAAGCAAAGGCAGATTTAGCAAAAGAGTGCTTAAAACGAGTTAAGAAGAAATGAGAACAAGAAGACGATCGTAAACCGGGGCGGCGTTTATGTTCAATTAATATATCCGATAAGTACTTAGGAAGCATCAGTCAGACTCTGGCAAACGTTTTGAATCACGTTATACGAAACGTGAAACAAATTTTTACATTTGATCAAGTTCCAAAACGCATGATGAATGAGAAACCGATGATTTTATCTCTGTCGTTGCTCGTTAAAAACGCTGGAATGACATTAAAAGAAATACTACCTCACTAAAAATCAGTGTCAGTTCATGTTCATCAAATGAGTCCAAAACATCGGTAAATAAAATGAAAACACGTAAAAGTTTTTGTCATGTCCGAAATTGCGAAGATGCATCTGACATTGTTCTGATGTTCCTAGTCCAAACCGTGAACCAAATTTTCAAGTGTCGTTCCCAAGTGTCGTATATTTGTTGACGTTTTAACATTGTCCAATTTCAACTGAATTTATCACACCACAGCTCGGAGTTACGCCTCTGCCAGACAACGACCCAAACGATAAATACCTGTACGAAATCATCGTCTCGACCGGATTGCGTAAAAATGCCGGAACCAAATCAAAAGTTTTTCTAAATTTTTTTGATTTTTATAAAAATTATTTTATAAATAATAATGAATTCATAATGATAATAATTTTGGAAAGGTACACGTGATTTTTAGCGGAGATTTCGAGGAGACTGATCCGAGGACCTTGGAGGATGATAAAAGGGCCGTGCTAATGAGAGGGGGTGTTGATTCTTTTCTTATGGCGGTTCCTCGGTTGGTTGACTGATTGGTTGACTGATTGGTTGACTGATTGGTTGACTGATTGGTTGACTGATTGGTTGACTGATTGTTCGATTGAACGATCGTTACTTGGCTGATTAGTTGTTCGATAAGTCGATTGTCTGGTTGACGTGCATGTTGTTGATTAATTGATTGATCTGTTAATTAATTGATTGGCTTGTTGATTAAAAACTACTCCAAAACTACAACCAATGTTTCCGAATCCTACACTTCTATCACCCCCTCAACAAACAGCCCACTAGGGGCCCTGAACTACCTCCGGGTGTGGCATGACAACAGTGGCAAGGGTAAATATGCCTCGTGGTACGTCAATTGGATTCTCGTCAGGGACATTCAGACGCTGGAAAAGTTCCACTTCATCGTGAACCAGTGGTTTGCTGTTGAGGAGGAAGATGGGCAGGTTTGTCCGCGGAAGGGAGCTGAGCCTAGGGGGCGGAGCTTAAGGGAGAAATAAAAATTAATAACTGTAAAATAAATATAAAAATAATTACAATAAGAGTAATGATGAATTGTAATAAAAACATTAATGACAACCTCAAACCAAGATAAGCCGCTTGATTTCGGTGTCAGGAAGGGAGCAGATGATAGAAACGGGGCACGCCTTCTCTAAAAGGGCCACACGGGGCCTCAATGATGATCACATCTGGTTCTCTGTTGTCTCTAGACCCCCTCAGAGCAGGTCTTGGGGTTTTTTCGGTTGATTGGTTGGCTGACTGGTTAATTGATTGATTGACTGGTTAATTGATTGATTGATTGATTAAAAACAGGTTCACCAGAGTTCAAAGGTTATCGTGTTGTTTGTGTCTGCTGTTCACCGCCATGCTGGCCAACGCCCTCTTTTATGAAAAGGTCGACAGTCAATCCTCCACGGGGTTCGACATAGGGCCATTCACCTTCAGCTTGGAACAGGTGATGATGACGATGATGCTAATACACACCACACACACACACACACACACACACACACACACACACACACACGTACGCACCACACTCACACACACACACACGTACGCACCACACACACACACACACACACACACACACACACACACGTACGCACCACACACACACACACACAAACACACACACACACGTACACACAGACACACATACATACACAGGTGTTCGTCGGTCTCATTAGCAACCTCATCGTCTTCCCCATCAACTTCATCATCGCCTTCCTCTTTAAAAATTCTCGTCCTCGTAAGAAGAGACCTTCGAGAATTGCCGAAGCAGTGAAGAAGATCAAAGAACAAAATCCTGTCGGTCCGCAAGGTCCCGGGTTCGATAGCGCGCGGAGCAATGGAGATAAGAGACCGATCTTACAACATGAATACGGTTGTTGTATATTGTTAATTTATGGGTTAAAGATTGAATTTTAATAAATTTATTACAATGTTAATATAGTAAAAGTATTTATAACAATAAGTATCAATATATGACCGATAATTTAATTTTAATTTACGATAATTCAATTTTTTTTTTAAATTCGCTTGACTCAATCAAACCAAATAAGCTGGCTTAAAATACAATTTAAAAAGAAATAATAAGAAATCATAAAATCTGCAGGCCAGGGTTACATAAACCCACTCAAACCTTCCAATCCTAAAACTCTTCCGCCAGAATCCAGCTACCCCAACATGGCGGCCGGCGAAAATTCCGCCAACTGGGACGATCCCGATCCCAATTTCAATCCTGAAAACGTGAAACCCAAAAAGAAGAAGAAGAAGTTTGAGCTGCCTTGGTGGTGTGTGGTGGTCGCCTGGATTCTTTTGGGGCTGACTGTGGCCGCTTCTATGAGCTTTGTAATTTTTTACGGAATCCAATTCCAGGATGAAAAAACTAAGAAATGGATCACGTCCATGATGATTTCCTTTGTTTCCTCCGTGCTTTTTACTCAACCTATTAAGGTTGGTATGTTTCTGTTTGTCTGCTTGTGTGTCTGTGTGTCAGTCTGTGTTTCTGTGAGTGAGTCAGGTTATGCGTTGTGTCTGTCACGCTCCCACAACCGCCACAACCAGGTCCTCCTACTCGCCATCTTTTTCTCAATGGTCTGCAAGAAACCAATGGAGGAAGAGGAAGACGAATCGGAAGAGGAAGAGGATTTCGCCGACCTGCAGCGCGACGAGGATTGGCTGCACGTTCACGGACCCACGCGAAGTAGGAATGTATCGTACAAGCCGCCGGACCCTGCAGTCCTTGAAAGGGCACGGCAGGAGAGGGTCAAAGAGGTCCAGATGTATGCCATCATCAGGGAAATTTTGTTCTACGGTGTCTTCCTGTACGTCCTGATATCCGTCAGTTACGATTTCAGAGACGTGAACAGCTACAACTACAAATCCACTCTGATGACGATGTTTGTTGATGGCGGGAGTGGCACTCCGAACTCCTCCAACAGCATTGATTTTGTGAGTTTGTGTGGTTGTTGCCGCCGTTGTTGTTGTTATTTGTTGTTTTTTAGTTGATGTTGTTGTTAGTTGATGTTGTTAGTTGTTGATGGTGTTGTTTTTGTTGCTGCTGTTACTACTGCTGTTGTTGTTGTGGCATCACGACTACGACGACCGTTAAAACCATCACGAAGGTCCGGTCAATAGATGATTATTGGAACTGGCTGGAAAATACCTTAGTCCCTGGAGTGAGAATGTCGAACTGGTACAACAAGGGACCCCCTGTTGGGCTTAGGGGGTACCTGAATGATTACGTCAGCAGGGTCATGGGGTACGTTACTCTGAGGCAGTTACGAGTTAAGAGAAGTGAGTGATAGTGATGTCGATTGGAATGGTGATAACTGAGATGATGATGATATTGAAAATAATGATAATGGTGGTTAGTTTCATTCGTTCATTCATTCATTTATTCGTTCGTTCGTTCGTTCATTCATTCATCAATTCGTTCATTCATTCACAGGAAAGTGCAAGGTGTTCAGCTCCATGTCGACGATAATGAAAGAATGCAACGTGGCGTACAGCTATTCAGATGAAGATAAAGCAGACTACGGGCCTGGCTGGACACCCCTCAACAACAGTAATGATATCGTCCAGCCTGAATACCACTACAAGTACACTAATTAACATAATTAATTAAATAATAATTAAAACATGCAGCACCTTCAACCAATGAAAACTCGCCGTACAAATGCCATGCAACACTTTCCACCAATCAGATCGTCGGATGAATTAGATGGCTACCCTTTCTTGGGCACACACGCCTTGTACGATGGTGGCGGTTACGTCGTGACCCTCAAGGGTGACAGACTCGCTACTGCGGCAAAGGTCAAATTATAATAAGAAAAATTATTATTCGTTATAATTATTGTAATTATGAATTCAAGAGTTTTTATTCATCCATTAGATCAGGGAGATCAAAGAGAGTGGATGGATTGATCGTTATACTAGAGCCGTTTTTGTCGAGTTTGCTACTTACAACACACAGGTATGTTTCTCGTCATCATCATCGTCATCATCATCATCATCGTCATCATCATCATCATCATCGTCATCATCATCATCATCGTCGTCATCATCATCTCAGATTTACACTCACAAACACACTAAAAAACTCACAGTCAAACTCATACATACGCACACACGCACATTCGCACGCACGCACACAGATAAATTTATTCGGAGTAGTTCACATAGTGGCCGAGCTTCTAACGAGCGGTGGCTTCGACTGCTACTACAGATTTGACACCATGAATTTGTTAGGTGCGCTGGGTACTACGCAGACGTTCCAGATCATTCTGCAGGTTCTTTTAGTTCTGTTTCACTCCCCCCCTCTCTCTCTTTCTCTTTCTCTCTCTCTCTCTTTCTCTCTCTCTTTCTCTCTCCAATTTTTTCTCGTTTTTTTACTCTGTTTCACTCCTTCCTTCCTTTTCTGTTTTCATCTCTTCAGATCATTCGACAGATGCTGAAATCTAATTTTGTTTGTGTTTGTTTCAATTTACTTGGATGTGAGCTTGTTCGTTCGTTCGTTCGTTCGTTCGTTCGTTCGTTCGTTCGTTTGTTTACCTGTCCGTCACCATCACCACCATTCTCACCATGACGAACGGACAGATCATATTCTGCTTGTTCATCGCCATCTTCGTGGCCAAAGAAATCAGAAACATCTACAAGGAGAGGAAGAATTACTTCACACAGTACTGGAACTACGTTGAATGGATGATCATCGTCATGTCCATCTGCTGCATCGCCATGTATGCCTTCCGCAAGTATATGACCAACAAACTGACCAAGTTCGTCTTCGATTTTGTGTCTTCTGTCTGGCTGACGTTAACCAACGCCAAAAAGACATCAATTGCATCCATAACAATTTTTAACAACAACATCTGCTTCTGTGACATTCAGTAACAATAGAATACATACAAAAACGACAAAACCAGAGAATATATAACAAAAACAACAACACCATACAACATTTAACAAACACAGCAACAACAACATAGAACATCTAACAAACAAAACAACAACAACACCATAGAACATTTAACAAACACAACAACAACATAGAACATCTAACAAACACAACAACACCATAGAATATATAACAAAAACAACAAAACCAGAGAATATATAATAACAACAACAACAACAACACCATACAACATTTAACAAACACAGCAACAACAACATAGAACATCTAACAAACAAAACAACAACAACACCATAGAACATTTAACAAACACAACAACAACATAGAACATCTAACAAACACAACAACACCATAGAATATATAACAAAAACAACAAAACCAGAGAATATATAACAACAACAACAACACCATACAACATTTAACAAACACAACAACAACAACACCATAGAACATTTAACAAATACAACAACACCATAGAATATTTGATGCCAGTGGCGGAAATGCGTATATGAAATTTACGGGCGTAGCGTACTGGAATGAAATGCTCCTCTACATTCTTGGGGTTCTCGTCTTCTTCGGTACCCTCAAGTTCTTGAAACTTCTCAGATTCAATAAAACTATTGGTTAGTTGGTTTGTCTGTCTGTCTGTCTGTCTGTTTGTCTGTCTGTCCGTCTGTCTGTCTGTTTGTCTGTCTGGTTGTTTTTATGTTTGTTATGTTGGTGACTTCTTGAAATGCTTTTATACTGCCTGAACATTTGAATGAATTAAACTGTAATCACTGAATATCAGTCAATCATATAATAGCAATAGCTCCAAAAAAACCAACAGTCTTATTTAAGTACCATATTATCCAACCGACCAATGAAATTTGAAAACAAATCAACCGACCAATCAAATTTAAATGCAGGCTTTTTAAGCGCCACCCTCCGCTACTGTTCAGAGTCCATCATAAACTTCACCATCATGTTTGCTCTAGTCTTCTTTGCATTCATCCACTTCTTCTACCTCGTCTACCTGCCCAGTTTGGAGGTCTTTTCTGACCTCATAATGACCGCTGAGCAGTGCCTCATGATGATGGTTAGTGAAGATGGCAGTTGTGGCAGTTGTGGTGGTTGTGGCAGTTGTGGCAGTTGTGGCGGTTGTGGCAGTTGTGGTGGTTGTGGCAGTTGTGGTGGTTGTGGCGGTGATGGTGAAGTTGCTGACGGAGATGGTGGGAAGAAAATTGACATTTCCATCACACTCTTACACACGCAACATACACACGTGCACGGGGCATGAAAGTGAACTTCACACTCCACACTCTACCACACCCTCACACATTTTCACCACTCTCTCTTTCTCTCTCTCTCTCTCTCTCTCTCACAAACACACTCCGCACTCCTCACACACCGACACTCCACTCGACAGGTAGGTAAGTTCAACTTCTCGGACATGGCTAAAGCCTCACCCGTCCTAGGTACCCTCATGTTCTTCCTCTACATGATCATCGTCTTCTTCATCCTCCTGACAATGTTTGTCGGAATAATTCTGGACGGATTTGCAGCCGTTCGGGATGACATCAACAAGCAATCGAATGAACACGAGATGGTCGATTTTATAGTCGGTCGGTTGAGGCAATGGACCGGTGCTAATAAGTACTTCGGTATTCGCAAGAAGGTTGGGTTGTCTCAGTTGTTTGTTTGAAGATGGTTTTTGATTGGATGGTTGTTTGAAGATGGTTTTTGATTGGATGGTTGTTTGAAGATGTGGTTTTTGATTGGATGGTTGTTTGAAGATGGTTTTTGATTGGATGGTTGTTTGAAGATGGTTTTTGATTGGATGGTTGTTTGAAGATGGCTTCGATTGATGCGGTTTTTAAAACATAAACAAGCACAACAACCGCAACAACAACAACATCAACAACAACATCAACAACAGGTACAACCTGGTAGCAGCAGCACGTCTTCAGGTGCGTACGACCCAGCAGCCATGGAAGCGCTGCCACAAAGATTGGATAAGTTTATGGATAACATAAGCAAGGTGGTGATAATGACGATGGCGGAGATGATGGTGGTCATGATGATGATGATGATGGTGATGGTCATGATGATGATGACGGTCATTCACCCATTCATTCGTTCATTCACTCATTCATTCGTTCATTCACTCATTCATCTTCCCACCCGACTCAGGTCTACTTCAATCAGGAATCTTTCGAGAACCTCTTCAAAGACGGTACCTCGGGTGCCACGGGCAAGCACGGGCCTGCCAATGCCCTCGTTGACCCCAGCAAGGGCCACATGCAAGGCTACGCCGCAGGGGGGATCGCTGGGGCCAGCCACCCCCAAAAATTTGATCCCAATCCAAAAGCTAGGATGGGATTTATGGAGTAATGACGAAGATGATGATGTTGTTGGATACGATGATGATGAGGATGATGTTGTTGGTGATAATGATGATTCTAACTGAGATAATGTTAATGATGAGCGGATTTACTATTCATATTATTATTATTAGGCTAATAATAATACTGCTTTTATTTTGGTGATGATGATGATGACGACGATGATGATGATGATGGTGGCATTGGTGTGGTGAGGACGATGATTGTAATGTATCCATTGACGCCTGATTAACTTACTTGAAAGTAAAACTCTGTGATAATGTAAGCAGCAAGAATTTTACGATAATTATACTATAATTAATTATAATAATAATTATTATTATTCTACCATAATTAATAGTGACAGTAATAATTGTAATAATTATATTCATAATATATTTGTCGTTGTTTGTGACGTGGTAGAATTTATATATTATATTATAAAAATATTTATTATATTTTATTATAATATATATATTTATATATATATATATATATATATATATAATTTAAATATGCTCACATATATACATATATATAGTTGTTATATGTTTAATATATAGTATATATCTGTATATCTGTATATATTTGTATATATATATATATATAAATTATATTTAATAATGAGTTCTGATAAAATCCATTACGGCTTGCTTCTTTAAATGAAAAACAAATTAATAACAACAGAATAATAAAATAATAATAATAATAACATTAATAATAATAACAACAATAATAGAATAATAAGAATAATAATAACGGAGTTGTTTTTACGCACCAAGCAAGCCAGCTATTTGTTTCATTGAGAAAAAATCTTCTGAGAAAATTATGAATGGGCGTTGGTTGAATGGATGAATCAGCGAATGAATGAATGAATGAATGATTAGATGGATGAATGATTAGATAGATGAATGATTAGATGGATGAATGATTAGATGGATGAATGATTAGATGGATGAATGATTAGATGGATGAATGATTAGATGGATGAATGATTAGATGGATGAATGATTAGATGGATGAATGATTAGATGGATGAATGATTAGATGGATGAATGATTAGATGGATGAATGATTAGATGGATGAATGATTAGATGGATGAATGAATGAATGGTTAAAACTGATTAAAAAGAATAAATCAAAGAACGAACGAATGAACTATGAAAAAATGAAGGAATAAAAACACGAGCATGTGTAGGCGTAAAAACTCTTCATTCTCATTGGCTGGCGTCATGCTAAGCTGCACAGCTGATGATGATGACGATCACGATGATGATGACGATCACGATGATGATGATTGCGATGATGATGATGACGTCATCGCCGATTAATATGACACTGATGATGATGATGACGTTAAAAACAAAAACAACAAAACATAAACACACTTAACATAGACACTAGTACATTGACACCAAAACATAGACATAAAAACATAGACACCAAACATAGACACTAAAACAAAGACATGTGACCTTGAGAAAGCGGACCGAGTGTTCGATCGATTCATAATTCATAAAATGGTAAACATTACATGCTGAGCTTTTATTCTCTCTTTCTCTCTCTTTCTCTCTCTTTGTCTCTCTCTCTCTCTTTGTCTCTCTTATATATATATATACGTGTTTGTGTGTGTTTGTTTGTGAGTGCGTGTGTGTTTGTGTGTGTTTATATAATGTATTCAAGTGCACTTGTGCCTTTCGAGTATGTGAGTGTGTTTATGATAAAAAAACTAAAAAGGCCCACGTGGCAAATACCAACACACACACGCACACACGCACACGCACACACACACATACACATTATACATACATACATACATACATACATACATACATATACAATACGTATTCTTCATTCAATAGCTATTTCAATTGTCTAGATACTCTCAACATAGTCACACAAAACTTTTACAGGCTTAAAATTTTCTTCCACAATAAAAACTGGTAATGCAGTGAGCGGATTTGATTCAAAGTGTGTGTGTATGTGTGTGTGTGTGTGTGTGTGTGTGTGTGTGTGTGTGTGTGTGTGTGTGTGTGTGCCATACATACAAACACGGACAGACAGACAGACACATACACAAAGACACATATAGTAGACAGATGTACTCAAGCTCTTGAGTTGCGAAACGAACGCTTCATAGATGACGATAAGTAATTGTGCCGGTCCTGCAATTTAAAGAATTCATAATATGCCAAAGAGAGAGAGAGAGAGAGAGAAAGAGAGAGAGAGAGAGAGAGGGGGGGCAGATAGACAGCTTGAAAAAAGAAATAAAAGAGAGAGAGAGAAAGAGAAAGAGATGAAGTCGTGAGTATGTTTATTTATCAGCGTCAAATATGACATCAGTTAACATTTTTGCCATACTTCTGAACTGGCGCGCGCGCGTTTCTAAAATAATAATAATAATAATTAATAATAAAAATAATAATTAAAAATAATAATTAATAATAATAATAATAATAATAAATAATAAATAATGATAATAATAATAATCTAATTTTCCCCATTCTTCATAGTGTAAAATTTGAAGGCTCTCTCACTCGTAAATGTAACTGATCGGGAAATAACACTCTTGAGGATGATGATGAAGAAGATGATGATGGTGATGATGGTAATGATGATGAAGAAGATGATGATGGTGATGATGGTAATGATGATGAAGAAGATGATGATGGTGATGATGGTAATGATGATGAAGAAGATGATGATGGTGATGATGGTAATGATGATGAAGATGATGACGATGATGACAATATACACTCATATATACTCACACACACCCAAACACACACACACACACACACACACATAAACATATATTCACACATACAGACACGCGTTTCTACATGTATACATACACACAGGCATGCAAACAAACAAACACACACATACACACACACACACTCATGTTCCAGCTATTTATGAAATGGTATGTTATGTATTTATAGAGTATAATAATAATAATATTATTATATTATTATTATTATTATTATTATTATTATATTATTATTATTTTTATAATCACGATATATGATGAAAAAATAATAATATATATATATAATATATATATAATATATATATATATATATATATATATATATATATATTGCTATTACTACTACTACAACTACAACTACTACTACTACAACTACTACTACTACTAATAATAATAATAATAATACTTAGAGTAATATTCTATGACTATTTTTATTATTGTCACTATCCAAATATATTTTATGGGCGTTATATAGCTAACAAGCAAGTTATGTATGCATAGATACACATACATACAATCATACAAACATAAAAACATGCATACATACATACATACATACATACATACATACATACATACATACATACATACATACATACATACATACATACATACATACATGCAAACAAACATATATATATAAATATATATATATCTCCTCGGATAGAATCATCACTTATGACGTAAATTTCAGTTTGATTAGTAGGGGAGGATAAAAATACAATTACAATACATTTAAATCCAATACGATACGATACGATACGAGACGATACGATACAAGAAAATACCGTAAACATAATGCACATTTATTGTATTTTATTGTATTCGGATTGTTGTGTATTGTATTGTATTCGGATTGTATTGTATTCTTATCGTATTGTCTTGCTACTGTATCAATAATTAATATGATGCTGATTAAATACATAATTTTGATTAAATAAATAAATAAATTAATTAATTAATTAATTAGTTAGTTGATTAATAGATGGTTGAAGAAAGGAACGAATGAATGAATGAACGGGCGAAGGAATGAATTATTGATTAATTGACTTATTAATTGATTAATTAATGTGATATTTAAAGTAAATAAATTAATTAATTTAAATAAATAAATATATAAAAAATAAATAATAAATTTAGTTTTGTTAGTTGTAGAAGTTTCGTCTGTTAACTGCAACTAAATAAGGTTAATATTATTGATTGACAGACTGAATGAATGAACGAACGAATAAATGAATGAACGAATGAATGAACGAACGAATGAATGAACAAATGAATGAATGAATGAATGAATGAATGAATGAATGAATGAATGAATGAATGAATGAATGAATGAATGAATGAATGAATGAATGAATGAATGAATGAATGAATGAATGAATGAATGAATGAATGAATGAATGAATGAATGAATGAATGAATGAATGAATGAATGAATGAACGAACGAACGAACGAACGAATGAATGAATGAATGAATGAACGAGTGAACGACCGATAGGAAACTGAATGAATAAAATAACCTTTCCATGCATTAAACGTTTCTACC